CTCAAAAAAAAAAAAAAAAAAGAAAGAAAAAAAAGAAAAAGTGAGTGACAAATTAGGTCTGCCCATTAGATGTGAGAGGTTTTAGATTCGAATATCGTGGATGACGAATTCGATACTAAATTAGGCTACCCATTATGTGACTTAGCCAAACCCCCTCTCTTTTTAGTGTAAAAATATCGATGTACTCATAATAAAATTAAAAAAAAAAGAAAAAAAAAGAAAAAAGAAAAGCCAAACATCTCTCTCCCTCAACCAAAAAATGTGGAAAAACGAAGGGTGATCTCGTAATTTCGCAGTCGGCAAATCACAAACCTTAAAAACCCCCAATTTTCCTCCCTCAGAAAATGGAAGCACACAAAAACCAGAGAAAGAAGGAAACTTTAACTTCTTAAGAAAACCAAACGACATGTCGATGGCGGAGGTCACCTTCTTCCAACTCCACGACGTCGACGACGACCCTCCCCACCTCCCCTACTGGGCACACCAGGACCTCGACCTCTACTTCTCTGATCCCGATTTCCTTCAATCCGATCGCGCCCTCCGCCCTTCCCGCATCGTCACCGTCGACGACGACGACGGCGACCTCTGCTCCCAGTACCAGTCCCCCGTCCACGTCATCCACAACGACGCCGTTTCGGGGGAGCCCGATTCCGCATCCAACCGGACCAACCGATCGGATTTGCTGGACCGCCGCGAGAACCAGGTGAATTTCGTGATGGATCTGTTCCAGCAGCGGGTCGAGCAGTCGTCTCAGGTAAACGCTCGCAGTCCCCTTTTTGTTTCTGACGATATTGACGACGAGGATCGTAGATTTGGGGTTATTGAGTCGAATTGCGATGTGGGTATGGAGGGTTTGGACCTCGATTTGAGTTTAGGGTTAGGGTCGGGATTGGATTTTGGGAATTGTTTGGATGGGGACGGGATTGATGATCCCGAGGAGGATGATTTCTTTGTGGGGAGGAGGGTGTCTGGGTCTGAATTTGGTGAGGAAACTTCCAATTTTAGTAGGGCTGATGATGATGCTTACGAGAATTGCGTGAGGCTGGTTGGGTTCGGGACCGATTCGGAGGATGATGAGAACGGGGTTATCGGGATTGATATGAATTCCGGGGATGAGTATGGCCTGGAGGATCGTGTCCATGGTGAGAATGATGATGATACGAGCATCCCGCTGCGTTGGGATTCGTTTATTTTGGAGGACCATAGGGAAACTAACGAAGATTTCGAGTGGGAGGAAGTTGAAGACGGGGTTGATGAGAGAGAGGTCTTCAGTACGTTTATTGATCACGACATCGAGGAATCAGGACCGGTGGCAGTTTCAGTTTCGGCAATGATGGCGCCGGAAGAGGAAGTGAGTGTGGAGAGATATGAGCATGTGGATAGTTTGGAATGGGAAATTTTGTTGAATGCCAATACTTGGGAGATAAATCCAGATGTGGCGCCTTATCCGGACGATGATTATATTCACACTGCAGAATATGATTTGCTGTTTGGTCAATTCTCTGAGAATGAGAATGCAACAGCGGGCAGGCCTCCGGCTGCCAACGCTGTGGTTGAAAGTCTCCCATCCGTAGTTTTAACTCAGGAGGATGTGGAAAAGGGCAATGCACTCTGTGCCGTTTGCAAGGATGAGATGAAATCGGGGGAACAAGCAAAGCAGCTACCTTGCACGCATCGGTACCATGGTGACTGCATTGTGCCGTGGCTGCGCATAAGGAACACATGTCCTGTTTGTCGACATGAATTGCCCACCGCTGACGCTGCTTACGAGCGTAGAAGGAGCCAAAGGCATGCTCGTGGGTCGAACAATGGTCGGGCAATCTTTTGAGATCTTCCTTCGGCATTAGGTACTCGAAATTGTAGATACTGCTGTTGGTAAAGAGTTTTCATTTCTCTGTGAGGATGTTATAGTTCCTGATGCTTTGTCAGCATATACATTTTTTTGTGCTTGTTTCTTGCTGGAGGATGATTGTCAAGCATGTAATGTAATAATATTTTGGTGGGTACTCAATTTTTGTCTTGTATTCTTATTTTTTGTGTGCTTTTTTCTTTTTACGATACATGCGATAAAATTCATCTAAACTACGGGACTGAAGATTTGAACTTTGGGTGCTCGGGCAAAAGTACAGGGCTCTAGCAGTTTTCTTTAACCCCTTTAGATTTGAAGGCATAAAACTACACATTTGGACAATGTTCATAGTTTTTTAGATACCTCTTGTTCTCTTTTTTTTTTTTTTTTTTGTTGTTTTTTTTTTGTTTAACTTTTCTTTGATTGGAAAAAGAAAAAATGTATTTATAAATAGAAAGTTAAGCATATTTAGGGTAAAAGTGAACAAGTAGTTCACCAAATGCAAAACAATCAAACAAAATCAATTAGTAACTAAAGAACGGGGTCGCCGAGTGATTGGAGCGAATTTCAGGTTTGTATTTTTACAATGGTGGCCAAGGGAAGGTTAAAATGTCTTTGTGATTCTTTTCAACCCCTGAAAAGATAGACTGTCGTGACTTCACCGCCAGCTGATCCCCTTTTCAAGTAAAAGAAATTAAGAACTCATAAAAAAAAAAAAAGGAATTGGTGGTGAAGGCATCCATCCAATGGTTCATTACAGACATTGAAATCAAATTATTGGGTGAAATCCAAATGACTCATAAACCCAATTTTATATATATATTTATATTTCCATCCCTCGTGCAGAAATAGCTCATTATAAACATAAAACGAAAAATGTGAGCATGCGTGTTAAATTGTAATTTGCAGTAATCAAGAATGGATACTTTCAAAGGAAGAAGCCAAGTATTTTTTCCAAAATCTTATCCCACTACGTCCCTTCTATTTTTTCTCGCCAGCCAATTTTAGTAAAAGCGTTTAAGCACACGAGTTGGTGATTACGTAGATTAAGTAGATGTTAATGTTAGTCAATAGATTGGATTAAGCTTTCAGTAATATTTAAGTGTTCAACCACAAAATCAAATGAAAATTATGTTTAAAAGTCCAACAAATTTAGCATTAGGAGGATGGTGATGCCCATGATTTGCACCTTGTTTGTTTTCTCACAAAATTCCTTTTGTTTCCAAAATTAGGGTTATCTTTTTTGTAGATAGAGCCACTAAGTCAAACTTTATGTATGAGCTTTCTCAATCGAAACTACTGGTATTTATCACATAAATTAATCTTAGAAGTAACATGCTCGTGACTAGCTGGTCTAGCAACATTCAGTTTCAATTTATTATAAAAGGTATGAAATTCAGCTCACACAAATCCAATGACGAAGTAAAGTATAAGAGTTCGATACTGAGTTATGGTATGTTGTAGCTCGTATTTTTTGCCCCAACTTGGTTAACCCACTTATAATAAAATAAAGTTGTCGGCTCACAGGGTTTGAGATTCGACTCACAAGGTTTGTATTGCATGGATTTTACAAGGGTTGTAATAGAAACCATCACTATTTATATTTGCAGCGAGTTCGATACCAAATTGTGACCGCAACCTATACGATTATATATGTTCCAAATATATATTTGTAAATATCCTATTGTCTATCAGAAAAGAGAAAAACCTAGAAGCTGTTGGAATTTATTAGGTTTATTTTGGAAATTAATTAGAGATTTGATTTGATTTTGTAGTAGGGTATTTTTGGCTTTATGCATTATGGTTTCTTAGGTTTATTGCTCTATAAATAGAGCTTGTAATTTAGTTTGAGAATTAAGTCATTCACAATGTAGTCTCTTAAGGTTTTGTAGCTATTTCGACATTCTCAGTTAGTTTAATAATATTTTTATTATTTTGTTAGTCTTGTTTGTTACGCACTCTGATTTTCAACTTGGTATCAGAGCATGTTCGATTCTTTGGAATTAAATATGTTCTAGATGGGTATCAATTTGTTCATTCGTTTGTCCGCTGCGTATCAGTTTGTCATGAAGTTGGTTCGGAAGTTCGCACTGGCTTTGGAATCTTGAACTTGCACCGCTTGAATTGCTTTCGCTTGATCGCCTGTTCGCTTGCCTGTTTGCCCGCTTGCCTTATTGTGTCTGCCTAACGGAGCTTGCATCCACATCTGCTTTTGTTTTCTTCACAAAATTCTTTTTGTTTCCAAAATTAGGGTTATCTTTTTTGTAGATAGAGCCACTAGGTCAAACTTTATGTATCAGCTTTCTCAATCAAAACTATTGGTATTTATCACATAAATTAATCTTAGAAGTAACCTGCTCGTGACCAGCTGGTCTAGCAACATTCAATTTCAATTTATTATAAAAGGTCTGAAATTCGGCTCACACAAATCCAATGGCAAAGTAAAGTATAAGAGTTCGATACTGAGTTATGGTATGTTGTAGCTCGTATTTTTTGCCCCAACTTGGTTAACCCACTTGTAATAGAATAAACATGTCGGCTCACAGGGTTTGAAATTCGACTCACAAGGTTTGTATTGCATGGATTTTACAAGGTTTGTAATAGAAACCATCACTAGTTATATTTGCAGCGAGTTCAATACCAAATTATGACCGCAACCTATACGACTATATATGTTCCGAATATATCTTTGTAAATATCCTATCGTCTATCAAAAAACGAGAAAAACCTAGAAGCAACCAAAAGAGCTTAAGAACTAAGTCTATCCAAAACAAGGACCCCTACTTATATAGCCATATTTTTCACTTTGCAAGATAAACCTAACCATTTCATGAGATCACTTGTCTTCAAGAACTAGCCCTTCCCTTTACATTTTTAGCAAATCCTAATTACTCTGTTAATCACATTCCTGGCGAGACGTCGGAAGCAAGTAATGTGAGATTAAGACATCCATGTTAGCAAATTAAGGTGATCATCCGCTCTAATTCTTTCCTTAATCTCACACGCCTTTCCGAAAACCGGAATAATCTCCAGGTGCAGGTCTTTGCCTTCAGATGTTGATATGAATGTGTAAAGACAAAAGATGTTAAACTACATAAATTACATGACAAGAAGAAGCTTAATCTCAATTAATTTCTGATTACGTGAAGGTCAAGAAATGCATGTATATATATATATAGATGCTAGAAGCTCACTAAAAAATTACTAAAACCCTTTTGAATTCTTCTTCTTCTTCTTCTTCATGGAGCCAAATGAATCAAAGGGGACTCGGTACTTACCTAATCACTGCCTCCCAACGCATCCCCATCCAGATTCCCTGCCGATCTACCCGCCTCGATTCTTCCCCGTCTCTCATATTCATGTTCCGGCCCATGATTTCTCACCAAACGCCTCGTCTCTCAGCAACGAAGCTGCCTTCAATGAAGCTGGGGAGCCGGACATGAACTACGAAAGAAAGCTCAAGAGAATGATATCCAACAGGGAGTCTGCGAGGAGGTCGCGGATGCGTAAGAAGAAGCAGATTGAAGAGCTGCAGTATCAGGTGGATCAGCTCCACTCTACCAATCGCCAGCTCTCGGAGAAGCTCATCCAACTGTTAGAGGGCAACCAACAGATCCTCCAGGAGAATGCTCAGCTGAAAGAGAGAGTTTCCTCCCTTCAAATCTTCCTTGCTGATCTCATAACACCTCTGAGGAATGCCGGAGATGTCACCGTTAACACAAGTGGCAATCAACTTAGAGCCGAGGACTCAAGTACGCCATGATTGCCTGCCTCCCTACCATGGAGAATTCCGCTTTGCTTCATCCAGTACAGGGGTTCAGTAGTATTGATGCGTAAAGTTTTCCCATTTCTTTTCTTCCCCTGCTGTCTTTCTACAGGTAAAAACAGTTAAAGATACACGAGTTTAAATGGTCAATGTAATTTGTCAGCGATCTGCATACATACGATGTTATCATTCTGTAAATTGTCATCGATTTGCATCCTCAACACTACGTTACATCCATACGATCTTATCAATAAGATGGCAGATATCTGACCCTTTTCGGTACAAAGGCATAAATCGACGGTAGATACAATAAACTTCTAATAACTCGATTAGAGATTTTCAAAATTTTGGGTCCATGTACTCAAGTCGTTTGTTAGCGTGCATCAGAACATTTGTTTATGATACAATATGATATAAACAGGCCCTGAAAATCGAAAACAAAACCTATCATCAACCGCTTTTCTTTACTGGATGCTTCCCATTTGAGATGTTAAGCGAGGTTTCTGCTGTAGTGGTAAAAGTCGAAAAGAAGTTGCTCTGTTCTTCAAAACCCTGGACCGGGTCTGCATATGAGAGGGTGCAAGGCCATCTAGACATGGAGGAACTAAACATGATTAGCTTCGGAAACAGAATGTGAAATTCAGTTCAAAAAACATGCTTCAATATACTCTACCTGCTCGACTTTATAACCTGATCACGTATTGTCAAACTCTCATCGAAGATGTTGCCTGCAAGAACGAAGATAATTAATTTTGAATAATTCAGTGACTTGCACTCATTGTACTTTTTATTCATGTATTAAAATGCACCCGCATCGTAGATTTAAGAAAATGTTGCACACCTCCATATAGGTTCGTCTTTGTGAAGTATTTTGCAGTCAACCAACGACTGTAGTCCACTTCATATTTCTTGAACTTCTCAATGTGGTTTGCGCTATGGAGGTCACTAACACAAACAAAGGACATAGTTTATCATCCAGGCGCTAGGCACAGGTTCAAATTCATGATATGACACGCAAGAGAAGTTAAGGCTCGTTTTAAGCATGAAATATAACTGAGTAGCTAATATCTGGCAGCAGCGGGAAAAACTTTTCCGCTAAGCTGCACCAAGAGGAGAGCAGAATATGAAGACAACATCGGTAGGAGCAAACTATAACAATGACAATTATAAGTCTACGACAGGGAAAGAGTGATAAAAAAATCAATGGGGTGTTCTGTTAAAAACTAATTACAAAGACTCAATAACGTATCAGGGTTACAGCACCCCTAGCATCTGAGCCATTGGTTATAAAAATAACCTGATATGTGATAGTCCTAGCCCCTTAGAAATACTTAAAACTCATATGTCACATGCATTTTGAATAAACTGAGCTCATAAATGGTAGATCAACCAGGCATCAGTAAGCCTTTCTAATGCTCCTGCATCACACAAAGACCTAATTTGCGCACATGAAAACCCCCTGTCACCAACCATAACCAATTCCAAGAATTTTACAATTACAGGGAGAAGAAATAAAGACAAAGCACAATGTAACGGGCATGTGAGCTTCTAGATGGAATTCCCATATACTCTACATTTTTAACAAAAGGGAAGATAGGTCAATGATACCCTACATGTGTCTGCGTTTGAGGTCAGGGGATGTTGGGGTATCATTATGTAAACCAAAGAACCTCCTCAGTTTAATTTAAAAACGTAACGAAGTACCTTCTTACAATGAAGTGGTTAATAATGTCGATAGAGACTTCAGATCGCTAAATTTTGACCACTATGGACTGCTAGATTACTACAGTTGTAATTAGGGAAACTTGTGGTTGATAAAGGCGACCATTTCTGTTTGTGCGTGTGCAAATGCAAGGGAGAGCGCCAGGCTTAGAACTTAGAAGTGTAAGCTAGTGCAAGGCCCGGAAATTCAAATTCTGAAAATGGGAAGAAGTAATCGTGAAAATCAAACAAATAGAAAGTAGCACTACTTTGTTTTCAATCACGAAACCATTAAAACACGTAAGCATACTAAGGGGCGGAAGATGAGAGAGTCTGAGAAGAGTTTCGCAACTGAATTTTCAAAGTAATATAAACCACTCAAACTCAAACTACTGAGTCCACTGTACAAATAACTAAAATCGATCATGCATTACACAACATCATGTCAAAATGATCCACACAAGATCCATTCTTCGAACAATCTTTAGGTCGCAATTATCTGTAACATATTCTCCCTGCAGATAATTAAGCTCTTCCTATACAATCTATTCAATTTTCGGGAAGTTTACTCGTAGCTCATTTCCATAATTAATAAAGTCAACCGCTTTAATTAATTTTCTTTTACCTGGAAACCAATTCACACACACTAAGCAAAATACAAATGACAAACACATAAACAAGCATAAGTCTCTGAAGAATTGCTACCGAAAACCTAACTTACAAGTGAAGCCAAATAACCAGTAGAGCAAATTACACACAGGGGTACGAAAAATTACATCTTTTTCACTAAAATTGAATCTACTGGGGCAAATAAATACCAAAAAAATTGAAAAATAATTACTAAAAATAGAAAATAATGGCATGGTAATTGCAAAATACATTCCTCAACACGGAATATAAACATGTAAGTTGAAAATTTGAAATATTCAAACAAATATATAGAAGCGAAAATCGGAAGAAAAGAAAGAGATACTCACTCATAATATGCAGAAACAATACCAGGCTTCGTCTCCTCGGCATCCAGAACTCCATTGTTGGCTCCAGCTTCAGCCTTCAACGTATTTAAAATACGAAACGGAGAAAACCCATAAGAAATCATTACACAAAACCATATGTATATATATGTGTATATATATTATATACAGATATATGTACGGGAAGAGATGAGGAGAGAGAGAGAGAGAGAGAGAGAGAGAGAGAAAAAACCTGTGGATTTGGAGGAGAGTGAGAGATGGGTCGAGTGGCGGAGTTGTCGGAGCTGGAAGCAGAGGAGGATGGCGACGCCGGAGACGCCGGAGACGGCAAGCTCGCCATGCTCACAATTTTGCTGCTGCTAACAGCTAAGAAACTATAACAAAGTCCACAGCCAAGTGAAAAAAATCGAGGCTTTGCAGTGTTCTTATATATTATTTATGGCAAACGATTCTCTCCGGATCTCTTCCACTAAATTCTCCTCATCAATCAATCCGAATTTTTAAAATTTGATCAAACGACTAAAATTATTCTCTGTTTTTAGACGTTGGATCAAGTTTCAAGGGTCCGGTTAGTTGATGGGAAAGATTTGCCAGAAGGAATTCGGAGAAGATCCATTTCCATTATTTATTATTATTTTTTATTTTTAATTTTATTTCAGTGAGGGATAGTTATTGCAGGCCCGAGAGGTAGGGTTGTCAAAACTCCGCTTGGATATGAATAATCGTGGAGATTTGCACTTTTTAAATTAAATGAGTTGTATAAAATAATAGGAAATTTTAATAATAAGTTTTTGGTATTGTTTACTTTAATAAAAAATTACATTTTAAAATTAAAAAGTCAATCCTGATACTATTCATTTTACCTTTTATTTTGTCCTTATCGTTAAAATTTAAAAATTTTTAAATCATTTTCATTATTTTTCCTAAAATAATAGCATCTCTTGCTTTGAAATCGTCTTGTATACTTGCTTAATATAGGTACTTTCTTTTTTCTTCGTTATTCATATAAAAAACTCTTACGAGATATGCTTTGTGTGACGAGATGGCCAACTAATTTTTAGTCAGACAAAACTCTTTGCCGACAAACTAATTTTTCAATGAAATCGAAATTTCTACTAATGATTCCATTGGCATCCCAAGATAGAGGTCATGTAGGATCAATAAATCCTTTACTTTTGAAAATTCAGAATTTCTTTTTCTTTTTTGCTAACAAATTTAGGGTTTAGGATAAGAAATACAAGTCATATAAGGTGCGAAAATTCAAATACGAAATCTGAACGTAAAAGTAAACGTCCTTAATTACTGAGCTTGAAAATTGTTGTTGCCGATAAAATATCAAAAGCGAGATCGTTCATTAGATTTTGTCCTCTTGGAAATGCACTTTGAAAAAGTCAAATTTGATAAAGTAAAACTGATTGAGTACAAAACCTTAGCTACAAATTATTGAAAACTTTTAATCTTTGTATATATGGATTAGGTGAGTTGATCAGAACAGTGTGCTTGCCGCCTTTTATTCAAATTCGAAAACCTCTCCTTGTGTAAATGTTATGGATCGAAGATACGGTACCAATATACATGTTATAAAATAAACAAATTGGTAACACAATGTGACGGTTGACGAAAAAATTATTCTGCAAGCAGGCATGATGCTAATTAAGGGCTTGTTTAAAAGTGTTTTAAAATGACTAAAGGCGTTTTTTGATAAAATGTTTCTGATTTCCTTCACAAAAAGTGCTTTTAATCATTTTGTATATAGTTCCAAACAAGCCCTAAAAGAGGGGGAAAAAAACGCTATTCTGTTATGTAACTAGGTCTAGAAATTTTGACCCTCAAGTTCGGATTCATTTTCTGTAATTACAAATTCAGACAGAAAGTAAATCATTTTGGTTACCACTTACATGATGTACAAATATGAAAATAAATATGTTAATAAAACAGTTATTTCTACTACTACGATATCAATATATACTTCTTTAATCGAAAATGATTTCCGCACACCTCTTTTCTCCTCTGAATTCGAAAACCGGTTTCCCCCTTGCTTTACCAATAATCTCCACAAGAACAAAGGCCATCTTTGAAATGATGGAAGCGTTTATTCTCTCTCACAATTATCTCCCCTTCAACAACTTTCGATATCAGCTTAGCCACAGAAGCCGTAGTTGAGATGCCTGTTCGTGTGGAGAGGATAAGAAATTGGCCATACATATTGTCAGAACTTATATGTGAGAAGTGAATCAAAACACCTAATAACGGCATGAAATAACATTACTATAAGGAGATATAACGTAATGAAACTTATACATGTTGATCAATGTATAATATAAGGTGAGAAAACTATAAGTTTTGTACAAAATGATGTAGAGAACGGTTACGAGGAGTCGGAAAACTGAAAGTAACTGCAACCATGATAGGAAGGGCAGTTACATCCTTATAACTAGGGTTTCGATCCCCTTTCTCGGGTGTGGCATGGTTCTCTTAAT